TCATCTTTATACTATTCAAAATAAATAATTTTAAGTAATTAATATGTCCTGGATTATAAATCATGCTTGCACAATTAATGATGTTAACAAGTTATATTTAATTATTACACTCTTATTTTCTTTTATGTATTTAAGCAAAAATTATTTGTAAAAATTACTTTGAATATATAGTATATTTTAGATATTTGAATTATATATGAAGATAATTATTACATATCCATAATAAATAAATAAAATTTATATTCTCAATATAAATATTATAAAAATATATTATTTTATATTTAATGTGTTATTTTTATATAACAATTTATATGAACATTAATCAATTAAAAACAATTAATATTATAATTTAGACTAGTTTAACAACCGTTTAAAAATAAGAGTAAACTATACTCATAGTCGTAATCATTGAACTGATCAGATTTTATTTTGGTCTTTGATGTTTTAATTGTGTCAATCACATCACTTAATCGTTTAAATGTTGTTAATCAAACCATGTCTTTAATATTTAATGAAAAAAACTAATGTTACAGTTAAAAATGATATAATTACACATTTAACATTTATTATTTATACATTTAATATTTATTAAACCAAGCACCTGAATGATTAAAAGATTTATTGTTATCTATTGAGATCGCATATTTGAGATCAAATATACAGAGATATAAAATTTCATTGTCAAATGATTAAAATCTTTAAAAAAATATTATCTTATAATCATCCCAGATTTATTAAGAAAATATTTATTTATTCACATTTCATTATTTTATTCAATAAATTTTAATTGAAATGGTTTGCAATTTCACACGCAATTTCATGTTCAGCTCCATTCCCACATAAATCTTTATAATCCCTCAATGTCAGAAACTTGACGCTTACATCAGACAATTCTATACCTCAAAGTTTTTGTCTTTGCTCTTTAGCCATGGCTGCCATTTTGTTACCTCTTCTTCTTCTGTTTATCATATCAACAGCGGTAGCCCAGTCAAGGAGTTCCAATATAAGCCTAGGCGCTTCTCTAACACCCACAACCGATCCCGTATGGCTATCCCCTTCTGGCCTGTACGCCTTTGGGTTTTATCAACAATCTAAGGGCTATGCTATTGGAATTTTTCTCGCCGGAATTCCCCAGAAAACTGTGGTTTGGACAGCCAACCGAGATGACCCTCCCGTTCCAAGAACCGCTAGTTTGCTTCTTACGACCGATGGAAGGTTTGTTCTGAGATCAACACCGGAAGATGAAACATTCATTGTCGATTCCACTGAAACAATCGCCGCTGCTTCGATGCTTGATTCTGGGAATTTTGTTCTATACAATTCTACCCAAGGAAAGATTTGGGAGAGCTTTGAACACCCCACCACCACCATTCTACCGGGCCAACGACTCTCAGCTGGGCAACAACTGTTCTCCAGCATCTCTGAAACCGATCAGTCGACGGGGATATTTCGTCTTGCCATGCTAGACAATGGAAACCTTGTGCAATATCCTGCGGTTCCATATCCCAACACTGATGGAATATGGTATTCATATGGGGCGTCTGATACATTTGGTGCAGGAGATAATGTGAGCTTGAATCTCGACAATGATGGTCGTCTGTACTTGCTCAACTCAACGGGCGTTGTAAAGACTTTATCTGAAGGAGGACGTGAAACCAGGGAAACACTCTATCTGATGAAACTTGATACGGATGGTATCTACCGAATCTATTCTTACAAGTTGAATCAGAATGGAAATCGATCAATTATATACGAATCTTCTTTAAATAAGTGTGATCCCAAGGGTTTATGTGGCCTTAATGCCTATTGTTTTAGCACTGAACGAGGAGCTGAATGTAAATGCCCACCAGGATTCAGTCCAATATTTAAAGAAGACAATTCCAGTGGTGGCTGTGAAAGGAATTTCCCAATGCAAAGCTGCAGGAGCAATGATCGGAGAAATCGATACACCATGCAGCGGCTTGCTCAAACGGAATGGGAAAACGCTACGTATTCTGAATCATCTTTATCAACCGTGGAAGACTGTGAAGCTGCGTGTCTAGAAGATTGTATGTGTGAAGCAGCCATGTTTAAAAACAGAATGTGCAGTAAACAAAGGCTGCCTCTGAGATTTGGGACATGGATAGCTTCTGAACAAAACATTGCTTTGATTAAGGTAGCCGTAGGTCTAAATTCACCCACTGGACCAGGCAAGCAAAATTCTCACACAGTAATCTTAATCATTGGTCTTTCATTGATTGGCTTTGCAGTTTTGTTACTAATTTGTGGGCCATTGTTTCTTAAACATCATGTTTTCAAATACAAAAGGGTCACAGTCACTACTGATAATAGTAGCATAAAATTGTGTGACAATGTTGCTCCTATATCATTTACCTTGGTGGAAATAGACCGTATGACTAACAGTTTCGAGGAAGAAATCGGAAAAGGATCATTCGGGACAGTTTACAAAGGAACGACTTCGGATGGTCTCACGGTTGTTGCAGTGAAGAGATTGGAAAACGTATCATCTCAAGGGGAACGAGAGTTCCAAACCGAGATGAGAACAATCGGGAGAACTCATCATCGAAATTTAGTTAGATTAATTGGTTACTGCCAGGAAGGATCCAACAGGTTGTTGGTATACGAGTACATGGTCAATGGATCTCTTGCAGATGTACTTTTTACACCTGAAAAACGACCTTGTTGGAATCAAAGAGTCGAAATTGCTCGGAACATAGCCAGTGGTCTCCTCTATCTTCATGAAGAGTGTGAAACGCAGATTATCCATTGCGACATCAAACCTCAAAACATACTAATGGATGAACAAGGACGAGCAAAGATATCTGATTTCGGATTGGCCAAGCTGCTAAATCCAGACCAAACCAAAACCTTGACAGACATTAGAGGAACCAGAGGCTATGTTGCACCAGAGTGGCACAGGAAACTACCGGTTACAGTCAAAGCAGATGTTTACAGCTTTGGGGTGGTTCTATTGGAGATCATATGTTGCCGACGGGGTGTGAATTGGGACCTTGTTGAGGAAGAAGCTGTCCTCGAAGAATGGGTCTACCGTTGTTTTCAAACTGGGGAGCTACGGAAACTGTTAGTGGGTGATGAAGTGGTAGAAGAGAAACAACTGGAAAGGATGGTGAGGGTGGGACTATGGTGTGTACTGGATGAGCCAACACTCCGTCCATCAATGAAGAAAGTTCTGCTCATGTTGGAAGGGACCGTCGACATACCAGTACCTCCCAGTCCAACTTCTTTTCTAGCTGCCATTTAATTTATGTTTTCTGTATTGCGTCCCTTTATGCTTTTCTGTTTGTTTCTGGTGTTCTTTTATCTTTTGCTTTTACCTTGTGGATGTTCAACTAGTGATATATCTATCTTTATATATGTTAGTTTTAATTACATATGTTATGAACGTGTATTCATCAAATTATTATATTAAACAAATTCAACAAAATCATAGTCTTGATCATACCCTTGGCCCATACCAACAAATGTATTAAACAATTCAACTCTCACCGTAATCAAGTTGTTCTAAAAAGATCTATTTTGAAAATTAAAATTATTTTAAGACTAGAATGAACAGGGACGAAACTAAAACCAAATATTCGGAGATGTAAAATATTAAAGTTCAAAATAATAATAACTTATTATATATTTAATCTAAAAAATTGATGTAGATAAAAGCCTATTTCTACTTAAATTTAAACTAATGACCTAAAATGCTTGTAAATAAAAAACGAGAAGAAAAAACACCTCACTCTCTATATAGTTTCATCAGTGAGAATAAAAAACAATATTTTTTTTTAAAATTCATTAATTAGTTGAATGATTAAGAATATTCATATTATTTTATCTTTATAAATTTAAATTTTAATATTTACTTTAAAAATATAACATCCCCACTCAGGGTCGGAGTTCAGATAGAACCTAAAGGGGCCCAAATCCTATTAAAAATTTAGTATATTCGATATAATTTTAGTCTAATATTATTTTGATTCATGTAAAAATATATGAAATTATTAAATATTTAATTGAATATGGGCCTAACTAAAGAATGATAACCTTATGTTCTCAAAATTTTGGTTTAATAATAATTTAAGTCATTGTAAGTTTAAATATTAGACAAATTAGGTGTTGTCTTGTAAATTTTGAGTTTTTTATATATAAATTACTATCTGTACAAAGATTTTCAATCATTTGACAATGAACGCTCATACTCATACATACGCAATGCTCAAACTCGGGACCTAAAGGATAACAACAATCCATTAATCACTAAGATAGCTTGGTTCTTGTTGAATTTTGAGTATAAATACATAATAAACTATTTTATTTTTATTAAATAATTTAATATTTAGACCTCTGTTAATATTTAATATTGGCTTTGACCTATATTCGCTTAATGAAAATATCTTTTCAATTATATTTTAGAGGAAAACCATGGCTCGCGTCCAAACATGTGTTATAAAGGAAGCTATATAATCGGGCCCTACTCATGGAGGGAACAACATGAACTATAGTTTAAGGTCTACTTTCCACCTTCGTAAATTTACAAATTATTTCAGTTACTATCTCTTATTGATTTAGTTATATTTAAAGTATTTTATTAATAAAACAATAAAAGAAACATATTTGATAAAATTTAATCAAGTTTTTATGATTTATTAATAAAATATTAAATTAATAAAATATATTTTATTTTATAAGAGTTCATTTATTGAATTTTCACTCATAACATTAAAAATATCTGACGTAGCTATAATATAATCACGGTTCAAGCAATGAAATAAACACCAAGCTAGGGAAGGTAAGTATTAGAGTAACTGCACGAATTAAATTATTTCGGTGGTTAAAGAGATTATTGTTGTTCATAGAAATTTTAAGTTAAAAATATCAGTGTCTACAGAAATATTTAAACATTTATTATCAAATTATTTAAAATCTTTAAAATGTATATTATCTTGTGACATAAAACACTCGCAAGCATAATCCTTGGTTGCAAGGAAGAAAGGAAGGGGATTCGAGTTCATCGAGGCTCTAATTCAGTTATCGACACTTCATTGTTAGACAGTTCTCCAAGCCCCATTGCTTCTTGAGGACTCAACTCATTTCTTGTGCAAAGGAAGGATGCCGGTTTCTGAGGTTGCGGCAACGAAACCGAGTAGCTGTCGAGCATGAGAATGACGGTTGTCATCATCGGCCTTTTACTCGGATCTTCTTGAACACACAATAAGCCTACATGGATACATCTAGCCACTTCATTTCTTGAATAGTTTGTTCTTAGATTGGGATCCATCATTTCCAATGGAGCTCCAGTCCTCCAGTGATTCCAACACTGCAACAATTTGCTAACAAGGTCACATTTTTTGCGTTCGACGAAATGAAAGAAAGGTCGATGAACAAATAGATGTACTCACGTAGCTTATGAGGTCTTCAGCACCCTCTGAATCATAAAAGGAACTATTCGTTTTGCCACTTATAATCTCTAGTATTAAGACCCCAAAGCTAAAAACATCAGATTTCATTGAAAAGTGTCCCTGCATTGCATATTCTGGTGCCATATAACCACTACAAACAAGTAACAGACCGATTAAAAACATCAGATTTCAGGGAAAGGGAAACATCAAAACACAGGATTGTTTCAGACTTACTATGTCCCAACAATTCTTCTTGTGTTTGTTTCAGTTTGATCCACACCAAAAATCCTTGCCATGCCAAAATCTGAAATCTTGGCATTCATATCCTCATCCAGCAAAATGTTGCTGGTTTTAAGATCTCGATGGATGATCCGGAGCTGAGAATCTTCATGAAGATAAAGAAGCCCTCTACAGATTCCTTGAATAATTTTGTAACGTCCTGACCAGTCCAAATTTCCTCGTCTTTCAGGGTCTGCAAAAACCGATCAGCATAGTCATTTCATTAAACAAATGAATGAAAGACAGAGCAAATGAGCATACCAAATAGAAAATAATCGAGGCTTTTGTTCGGTACAAATTCATAAACCAGTAACTTTTCTTCTCCATCCAAGCAAAACCCCAGCAGTCTAACAAGATTCCTGTGTTGAAGCTTACTTAACAGGGCCAATTCATTCTTGAATTCTTTTGTTCCTTGATTAGAGCTCTTAGATAACCTCTTCACTGCTATTTCTCGTCCATTACATAGTTTCCCCTGGAATTACATATAAAACAAAAACTATTTATATTTCTTTACTTTTCTCCCTTCAAATTCTGCAATTTCAATAGCTCAAAAGGCTTCAAAGATATACCTTGTAGACCTCACCGAATCCGCCTTCACCGATTTTGTTATCGGAAGAGAAATTGTTTACTGCAGCTTCGATTGTGCTTAGATCAAATTGCAAGGATTCTAAACCTTCGACATCCTCGACAACTATATAATTAAAGGGAACTTTCCATTACAATACTGCACTGTCAAAACATATGAAGAACTTGAGACCGTTTACCATTTTCTTCAGGTACTGCATTGTATTTCTTTCTTGCCTTCTTTCTCAGCACAAGTAGGCCTAACGCCAATAGCACCGAAGACGTAACTACCGGACCAACAATCGCGACGATAATCGGCAAAGACTTCTTTCTCCCCCCTGAACATAAAACATATCAGTACTTGAACTGATATTGTGGCTGGGACTATGTATTTAGTATATATACAAACGCACCTTGTTTAGTAGAGTTCGGCGAGGAAGGTGGAGGAAGCAATAAAGCGGCCGAGCTGTTACGGCGGAAGAAGGGAGACATATCGAATCTGATATTACAGCTCGGAAGCAAAACTGTTCCACCTTGTCTCCCATCACAGCACATCGGAATAGAAGCAATGGCACTTTGTAAGCACCGAAAGCAAAGTGCATTAGCTAAGTCCGGAGTGCACTGCACTAAGCTGTACAGTGTTTGGAATCCGGTAAAATTCGCTTCACCGGTTGCGAACTTTTTCCCCGACTGGTCATCATACGCCACACGGTTCATCAAGCTCTTCATTAGGCTCGATAACAACTGATTAAAACCATCTTTGTCGCCCTGGATGCTTTTGGAACTGCTAATATCCATCCCGGGTACTTCACGGATGATGGAAAAAATGTTTTGATCAGAGTACCGCACAGTACACTCATCGTACCAAATGACACCCACTTTTTCCGTAACACACCGTCGAGCTATATCGTTGCTGGCCATTGCGATGCATTTTCGACAAAGGTCAGCCGATACGTCGCCACGGCAAAGAAAGGTACCGTAGACCAAGTTGGGGTCTCGGCCTGCTGTTGTATTGTAAAATCCATTTTTACTGCTGTTGGTATGTGAAGAAAGAGAGGATAAAAGGGCTTTCATATTGGCTTGGTAGGTGCTGTTGGGCTTGAAGGAAGTAGCATTATCACAGAAATGAGATGTGTATGTTGGTGCTGCTTCGCCATGTCTGGTAAAGCAAAGGAATATGAAGAGAAACACGAAAACTATGTTGGCGTAAAGGGAAGCCATATCAGGTGAACTTTGAACTCCAAAAACTTCTCTTCACTCTTACCAACAAATACATCCAAACAAATGTGAACTCCAGAAACTCACATGCGAAGACGATTTTTTGTGTCATAGAAGGGGCCAGGACGCAAGAGTGGAGTGCCAGAACCAGAAACGTCTAATTTACAAGAGACGTGTCATGTTCGGATTTAAAATTTTATGTTAATAGAATTTAATATATTATTAAAAAATATTAAAATTATATATAAGTTTAAAAATTTGAAAGAAAATTTGTCCCATCAACCCTTCAATCCATAGATTAATTAAAGATTAAAGTTCCGGGGGTTGTAAAGTCAAGACTCAATGAGGACTAAGCATCGTTTGAATTGTCTAACTTGTGGAAAATAAGGGAAAATCCGAAAATGCTTGGATCTATTTAGGGATGGAGAGATTTTATATAGAGAAAATCATTTCAGTAACTAAAAATATCTTATAATATACGATTTTAACTATTTTTTTTGAATTTGTGAAAATGACCAACAAATTCGCAATGCGATCTCAACTTCGCAACGATAATATGTAGATAGCAACGCGATTTTCCAAAATCGCAAACCGAATATGTAGATCGCAACGCGATTTTCCAAAATCGCAACACAGAAGTTAAATTCGCAACACGGAATTTCAAATTCGCAAAGCGAATTTATTTTTCATAACACAAGTTTCCTTTTCGCAACAAGATTTTCTAAATCGCAACTCGATTTTCAAATTTGCAACACGAATTTTAATTTCGCAACAACTTTTATTTTCGTAACACAAATGTTTTGGGTATATAAACTACGCAGCAGCAGCAACTCATAACATAAATCCCTAAATCGCAACTCATTCCATCTCCATCTATCACTCTCTCCGACGACATCCGTTCTAATATCCAAAGACATTCTTCCCCATCTCAATTTTTTTTTTACATAATTTTATTTCTATATAATTTTTCAATGATTTCTCTCCCAAATTATCAACTATCAACTTAATAAAGGTATGTTTTTCTCAAAGTTAGTGATGATATCTAGTTTATAGCTCATTTGTTTAGTAAATTAATTTACAATTTGTAGAATGAAATCATCTAATGTTGATGGAGGATCATGGGAGAATGTTCATGGTGTTTTACAATATATGCCTTTACCCATGAATCTTCAACTAAAAATGTCATTAAAAAAGTTAACTTATGAAATTCTTATGTTACGTGTTGCAAAGAAATTGAATTTAGAGCCTCTAAGTGGATTTAGGCTATCTTATAAGAGAAAAGGTAAAGTTTATTTGTTAACCGACAATGAAGATGTTGAACGATTCATTGCTTACATTAGTGTTTCGCAAGATGATGTTACATTGTATGTTGTTGAACCTAGAAGTAGTGAAGTTGGGTCACTAGCGGGTAGTAATCAACTAAGTGCTTCAACCCCTGTTTATGGTACTCACAATGTATAACGTTGTTATCAACCTCAAAATTTAATTATTCCACCACAATTTCATCACCAAGAAAATTTTGTTTCACCACATTTCCAATATCAAACACAATCTCAAAACCCACAACCTTTCCCTAATCCAAATCCCAATCAACTTTCAGCACCAAATTTTGGTTTTCGTATTGACCAGTTAGACGATGATGAGCCAACAGAAAAAATTGTGAGTACTAGTCAGTATTCGAAATTTGATCTTGGTCAATACCCGGACTTTGATCTTGGTCAATACCCGGACTTTGATCTTGGTCAATACTCGGATTTTGATGATGTTTCATAAGAAGAAACAAACCCTGCGTGTAATGATTTTGATATTGGGCAATACCCGAAGTTTGATGATGAAACAGCTGCTGCCTCCAAAGATGTTGTTGATGATAATGAGGAGGAAGTTACGACTGTGAATGAACATGTTGAACATCCATTCTGTAATTCATATAACCCTAAAGAAGAAAAATAAAAAGTCCCCGGAGAAAAGAAAAAGAAGAAAATGCCACGGGAGTATAACTAGAATATGCCAGAATTACTTTAGATACCGGAAGAAGAGTTGGTAAAGATAGCAGTTGATTGTTATACAAAAGTTATTCGTATCAAGAAAGATGACTGTTTTGATACAAAGGAAGACTTAAAGATAGCTTTGTATATGAAATGTGTGGAAGATGGCTATCAACTAAAAGTTAACAAATCAAGCAAAGATCATTTCGAAACAAAGTGTATGATTGACAAAAACTGTATGTGGCGTATGATTGTAAAGAGGATAAAAGATTGTGAAATGTTTCAAGTTAGGACTTTTATTGATAAACATACATGTTCAAGAACCCAAGTTTTTCACCATAGATAGGCAAACAAAAAGGTGTTGGGTGGTTTTCTGGCTGAGTTAATGTTTTTGAATGGAAGGGTATATCAGAGACATGAAATTATGACTGACATGAATGCTCGGTTCAAGATTAGTATCTCATATTCTCAAGCTTGGAGAGCTAAATGTTATGCCTTGGAATTGTTGAGGGGGTCGCCAGAAGCATCGTTTGCCCAACTGCCGGATTATTGTCACAATTTAAAGCTAAAAAATCCTGGGTCGGTAACTCATATCAAAACAGATAGAGATTGACGCTTTGAGTTGTTGTTTATCTCCACTAGTGTTGCGGTTAGTAAATCAATATAATTTTGTTGACTCATTTTTGTTAGTTACATGCATTTCACATTTAAATGATTATATTTCTTGTGTATATTATTTTGTAGATTCGTTCGTTTATTACTTGCATGCGCCCAATTATTATAGTTGATGGAGCACATTTGAAAGGTCGATACCTTGAAGTAAACTTATTAGCAGTAGCCATAGATGCTAACAATGGGATATTGCCAATAGCTTATGGGGTTGGCAAATCTGAAACCTCTGATTCATGGACATGGTTTATGAGGCATCTTAGGGATTGCATAGGTTCTATTAGCAATCTGACAATCATATCCGATAGGGCAAACTCAATTGACAACGTTGTTAGAAGGTGTTTCCCAGATGCTTTTCATAGACTTTGTGGTGTTCATTTGTACATAAATCTAAAATAAAGGTTTGCTGGTATAAAAAATCACAAATGGACATACTGGAAGGCTGTAAAAGCTTATCGGGAAGTGAATTCTAATAAACATATAAATTGTTTAAGACGTGTTTTGCCTTAATGTGCTCAAACACTAAAGATGTCGGGTTTGAAAGATGGTCAAGAGTACATCAACTTGGAGCAAGGTATGGTTTCATGACGTCTAATAGTGCAGAATCAATCAACGCTCTAAGTCGTCATTCCCGAAAATTACCCATTACTATGTTAATGGAGTTTTTTCGAGCCTCTATTCAACAGTGGTACTACAAGAAAAGAAACCATGCAGGTATTATTTCTTTAAATTCGTAACTTATCATATTTAATTTAAATATTTTACTAAGTATTATTTATTTAAATTTACAGAAACATTAGAATGTCGTGTTACACCATGGACTGAAAAAAGATAACGAAACGTGTTGTGATGTCAACGTCATGGAGAGTTAAACCATGTTCAAACACTTTGTTTGAAGTATTGGATAATAACTTAAATGGGCTTGTCGATCTAAATGCAAAGACGTGTAGTTGTATGAAATGGCAAACATCTGGTTATCCGTGTGGCCATGTTATAAAAGTTGCTCTTCATCTAAACCAAGATGATTCAAGCGCATACGCTATGGATTGCTACACTACAGAAGTATATCGACATACTTATGTCGAGATTGTCTACCCTATTCCACATCCTTCTGAGTGGGACATACCAGATGACTTACAAACAGTTTTGCCACCAGTCATGGACATCAGGCTACCTTGCTGACCAAAAAATCACGATCGTATACCGTCTAAGGGTGAAGAGAAGAGGATATCAACATGTAGTCGGTGCAAGGAAAGTGGTCATATAAGGTTGACCTGTGGATCACCAGTTCCATCACAATCATCTTTTCCTCTAGCAAAATATGGATCCTCATCAAAATCCAAAGCTCATATGGTGCCAAGCAAAAGGAAATCAAAATCGCAATCAAAATTAAAATCCTAATCACAACCGACTTTACATTTTGGGACTTATTAACTTAGGTGATTTTTAAATGCAAACGTTGTATTATATGTATTTTATGTGTGAATGCATACATTTTCCATTAGACATGCATTAGTAACTTGAGTTTGAACATTGATATGATCTGTTCAGTTGTTATCACTTATCAGATTGTTGTCTGTTATCTTTTTGAAGGTGTTTTCCTTGAATTCGCAACGCGAAAGTCAAATTCGCGAAGGTGTTTAATTTCACTCTGCATTATGTTAAAGTCAAAAAAGACCAGAATGTACACTTTCGCAATGCAAAAGTCAAAATTGCAATGCGAAAATCAAACTCGCAACGTGAAAGTCAAAATCGCAATGTGAATTTGACTTTCGCGTTGCGAAAGTGTACCTTCTGATCTTTTTTGCCTTCAACATAATGCAGAGTGAAATTAAACAACAAATCAATTAAACAAAAAAACAATTCTTATTTACACTTAACAGATTGTTGTTTGTTATCTTTTTTAATGTGTTTTCCTTGAATTCGAAACGCGAAAATCAAATTCGCGTTGCGATTGTTGAGAAAGTCAAAATCGCAACGCGAATTTGACTTTCGCGTTGCGATTTTGAATTTCACGTTGCGAAAGTGTACCTTAAACATGTCTTTTTTGCCTTCAAAATAATACAGATTGAAATTTTCTTAAACAACAAATCAACTTTTACAAATCAATTAATTAAACAAGCAAAAAACAATTCTTATTTACACATCTAAAAAAAACAAATAAACTGCACATTTAACCCCAGACAACTGGTTGTTTATGCACAAATACATCAATTTCACGCAGCTCATTTCAAGATCAGGATTAACCTGCAGAAACCAAACATTTGCTCAAACAACACTTTCTACATATCTAAAACCAACAAATAGCAAATTATTGAATTCTAGGTACTTAACCAAACATTTTCAAACCAACAAAGAGTATATATGTTAACAATACTTGCTCAAACTTACCATTGTTTATGCACACTTTCAGCAGGCGGATGCAGGTAGGTAACGTCTCGCATATATCGCTCTAGCCATAAAATGCTGAAACCACAACCCTACTGTACCTCTATCTCTATATATGGGAGGTGGAAACTGTTTACTTCCTATCGTCAAACGTTCCAAGCACATGCATATAAGAGGACCACAATCCCCTCTGGCTCCCTCTGTTTGTTGTGGCGCTGTCTCGTATCTGATCATTGTAACTTTGAACTTTTTTGGCTTATTGTTTCCCGATTTAGTCCAATAATCAAGTGCATCCAAGTATTTAGCCAAATGAGCACTACATCACTTACAAATAATATATCTCAAATCAGACAATGGTATGTAATTCAACATGATGTCATATACAATCGTCTTCAGGGATGGGAGATGAAGCTCGATGAGAAGCCAATGACGACGTTCCATAACAGGGATAAACACCTGCAATCATAAATAATAATTCAATTGCGCACATCAAATAAAATTTATGAACACATTTAAATATTCAAAAATAAATTTAACCTTAGCGACCTCCCACCACGTAGGATAAAGTTTAGCTTTTCCATTACCCAATACATATGAAGCGTCTCTCTGATCCTTCAAGTGAGCTACATGAAAAGACGAAGACATAATAGTCCATCGCATATTTTTTATTTTCTTCAATTTCCTTATTATCAGAAGATGTGACACTCATGAATCAATATACTGTTTTATAAAAAAAATACATATATTAGTGAATTTAATAAATAAATTTTAAAAAAAATCAATCAAAATGCAATATAAGAAGAATATAAGACTTACCCCCCATTCTAAATAGCAATTGTCTTCAACCCCTAATAACACACCCCACTAAGACTGATCAAGAAAAAAATGCATATCATCGTCGAGTTTGCATATGTCAGCGCCGCTCATATAGATAAAAATCAATTGCAGTCTTAGCCCAAAGGGTATTATCCATAATTGTGTCCGATAGTGTTCTCCTCTCAACTTCAGATACCGGAATGGTACTGACCGGTAACTCATACGAAAGCCAACTCTCATCCATCATGTCGGGCACGTGAGGGGGTTTATTAATATGTCGACATATTATGCCATGTGAATCGGGCTCTTGAACGGTGGGAGGAACCTCTTGAACGATGACAGTGGCCTCTTGAACGGTGGGAGGGGCCTCTTGAAGGATGATAGTGGCCTCTTGAACGATAGGAAAGGCCTCTTGAACGATGACAGGTGAATCGGGCTTCTTCTTACGGAGTCTTGGCACTATTGGGGTGAACGGAGACGTAATGACACTTGCACGACGTCTGATGCGTGAACCCAGTCGTGCAAGAAAAACCCAACGTAAAGCATCTACCTTATCGGGCCACTAAAAATAAATTAATACATAAATCAGTAAATAAACAAATAAATAATGCCGAAAAAAGGTTATTTGCATTTTTAGTATAGTATTAAACAAACTTACCTAATTGCGTAGAGTATGAACCTCATTCTGCAACGATGCAACAATCTCACGTAGAGCGGCTACCTCATCACGTAAAGTAGATACCTCACCACGTAAAACACCATTGTCATCGCGTAAAACCTCTACCTCACCACGTAAAGACCGTACCTCATCACGCCATGCACAATTGTCGTCACGTAAAGTACTGACCTCCTCACGCAAAGCATTGACCTCATCACTTAACTCCCCTAACTCATCCCATGGAGGTGGAGAACAGGGAGATAAATGTCGTGGTATCTTTTCCGGTCGCTTATCATGAGGTGATGGTGGAGAAGAGACTCGATGATGTGATGGAATAGGTGATAGCTCTCGTTGTGGAGGTAATGGCTCTGGTGTCGAGCTGTAGAATCGGCTCGATCGAGTGATGGCTCTCGAAGTGGGGGGTGCTCATCATCCGTGCCATCAAAAAAACGCTTACTAGCTTGCCACCAATCAGTGGCAAGCTCAGCCTCTGTGGGTGTCAGCCTCTGTATTGGATAGTTGACCTCCTAACAATATAAAAGCTCAAACAAAGTTAAACGTCTACTAGTAATAAGTTGTTTATATATGGTAGTATTTGTGTTAACTTACATCATTCATCGTCGTATATGATAGTAACTCTTCCTAATCCAACAGTCGGATCCTCATCCAGGAAATAGCCCTAGGAATATCATTTGAATTTTTGATTGCATATGTCCGCATGCTGGGAAAAGCCTCAAATATCCAAATCTACAAACAATATAATACACAAATATTAGTAATTGTTAAATAATTAATTATACTTTTGGAAACATTATATAGAAATTCTTACCTTAAAGGCCCAAATAAAGCCTGCCAAAGTGTATTTGGAACCATGGCCATGCAAACTTTTTCGGTCCTCAAAGGCAGACGACAACTTTTTCCAGGTAGCTTTCCATAGATATGAACCCCACGGAAACACGTTCTATACATTTAGGTCCTCTACCAATAATATTAGGTCATCAGAAATAGGTTGTATGGCCTCTTTGCATAAAAATCTGGCATGCAAAAGTAATAAAAGGCATACTCGGACAACATCGAGGTCATCCATCCGAGTAAAACCATCTTTAAGAAGTAATCTTTTCAAGTCGTCGACGTGTAAACTGGGTTTCGCCTTTGCCAGCTCAGGAAAAACCAGAGATAACCATGATGGGTGAGTGATATGACTAGTGTACCGACCTACTTCATCCTGTCCGAAGCGTAGACCAGTGATTAAGCAAAACTCCTCCCGCCCAAAACAAGTATACGCCGGTGGAAAATGAAACCATATCTCTTCATCACCACGTTGTATCCTCTCGGGTAGATCGTTAGTCATGGTCTGAAGAAACAAATGAGTCAACATAGCATCTCCACCTGGATGTTGTACTTTCAACCATGGCCCGAAGCAAGTATCCTCAAACAATTTTCTTTGTACAAGTGTAAGTGTCGACGTAATTGTAGTGGCTAGGCTTAATTTATTCCTTAAAGTCAATGAAGCCGAAAAAAAATTTCTAACAAAAACAATAAACATACCAAGTTAGATATACCAAAAACTACAAATTATACACTATAAACATACATGATATTAAACAGTGAAAACAAAGCCAAATATGTTTCAAACTAGCATGGTATTCACCCAAGTCATTATTCTATCATAGTGAACAAAATGCATCAGATAACATTCTAGAAGTAAGCACTTATATAAACATTTAAAAGGATAACATATAGGTTTAGTGCAGGTTCAAGGACAACATAAAGAGTAATAATTTATTCTTGAAACTTAAATTCGCAACACTGTGAAGTTAGTATTTGTCTTTGTTTTTTGGTTGAAGTAATGCAATTCATTCAAGTTTCAATTTGCAGAAGAATAGTAGTTTCTGAAACTTAAAATCGCAACGCAAAAATGAAAATCGCAACGCAAATTTCATTTTCGCAACGTTGCGATTTTCATTTTTGTGTTGCGAATTTAAGTTTCAAAAAATATTCTTCTGCAAATTGAAACTTGAATGAATTGCATTACTTCAACCAAAAGACAAAACAAAGGCAAATACTAATTTTACAGGGTTAAAGACAAAATAAAGACAAAAACCAAATAAATTTACTAAGCAATCTAAGTGAAATGGTTAATCTATTATTGAAATTACCAGTAAATTTATCAATTTAAATATGAAAAATCTAATAATAAAACAAAAATTTCAAAATAAAAATAATTAAAAAAACTAACCCTCGGTGGTTGATTTTTCATTTGTGGTCGTGAATGGTTGTGAGGGTGGCTCTGATAGATAGAGATAGAGGGGGCTCGCCGGATATGTGGACGGATTTCGTCGGAGACGGGGACGGATGTCGCCGTAGAGAGTGAGAGATGGAGATGAGACTGAGTCGTGATTTAGGGTTTTAGGTTATGATTTGCGATTATACTGTTTACATTTGTGTTGCGAAATTAATATTGTGTTTTGAATTCGAAAATAAAATTCGCGTTGCGAAAATAAATGCGCTTTGCGAATTTGACTTCTGTGTTGTGATTTACAAATTCGCGTTGCGATTTACCTATTCGTGTTGTGAATTTGGAAAATCATGTTGCGATTTTGGAACATGTGTTGCGAAATTGGAGTTTGCGTTTCGAATTTGTTGGTCATTTTCGCAAATCCAAAAAAAAGTTTGTTAAAATCGAATATTATAAGGCATTTTCGGTCACTGAAGTTATTTTTTCTTTTATATAAGGGTAAATTTAGGGATGAATTTGTAAAATTTTAAAAATAAAAAAAATTATTAACAAAAAAATATTTTTTAAAGACAACCGTCTCCTTTTACCTCTCGTACATCGTTAGACACACTTATTTTATGAAGTGTAATAGAGACGGAAGAAGGATTGGGGAAAATTCCAATACGATTAGTGTCATGCTCAGATTGGCAAAGGATATACAAACAGAGGTGGAATAATCCGCACTGGTGGAGCCACATTAATTTCACAAATCCACTCAACATCAGTCGTTTACTCAAAATCTTTTTGAAGGAAAACTACCCAGCTGGTCGCCCAATTTTTTAGGTATTTTTATTTTGATCACCGTTGTTAGAGAAATAATTCATTTTAATCACCTAAACGTATATCACAAGCATAAATCAAGCCTATACCACAAGGTGTCCACCATGTTCCCAAGCTTGCCATACACTACCCAAATCCCTCCCCACCCATAAACCAAAATATAACTAACATGTTTGATTTTAAGTCTTCCTATAAAATATACTATTGGGGAAAACGGGTTATTTCCCACACGAACGTAGTTTTAAAATTAACCTAAAATGTCAAGATTAAAACCACCAAAGGTTGCACAATGAATAAACCTGTCAAACTATTAAATATTGAAACACAATGGAAAAGAACCGAATAAAAACAGTAAAGGAGAGAACACACCAAATTTACGAGGTTCAACGAGAATATCGTCTACTCCTCGGGCACCACACCGGATGATAACTTCACTATATCGCCAATATTACAACAAATGGAATTCTTTAGAATTCCCAAAGTGGAAGAATGAAGAATACAAGAGGAAGAGAGAACTTGTTTTTGGGATGATTTCTAATGGAAATACTTAGGCATATTTATAGTTGAGTTTTAAGAACAATATGTTCAAAGTTTGGCCACCTACCAAAGAATTTTCCAATGTGTACAAGTTAGCCACCAAATATGAAATTCACATGTTCAAAGTTTGGCCACCAACCAAGATGAAATTTCCAACTTGTCAACTTAATTTCTAGACAAATCTAACAAATCTCCACCTTGGCTTGAAATTACCAAGCCTACTCAACTTCTTCAACTTCCCAAATTTGTAGTGCCTCTAATTACGCTCACAAGCGCCGCACACCCGAAGGTGTTCATACTTTCAGGATGTTAATTAAGTTCAAACAATGA